TTGACTGGATGGATCATTTGTGACTGAAGCCTTATGTATTGAAGGAATTACGGTATCCATAATCGCCATTAATGTAGTCCATTGGAGATCTGTGAAGTATTGATCCTCAGGAGGGTCGGGTAATGGAGCGACGATGGGCGCAATGATATCAACCATATTCGAGGTCATTGTGAAAGATTTCAAATTTGAAGATAGAGTGTCAAGTATATAAGATAAAGAGATGGGCGACAGAATATGTTCATATATATAGATATAAATTTAAAGATTGAGGATAAGCTTGAGCTCCAGTTTAACTGTGTTGTCCTTCACATGAAGTCTTCAATAGATTATTCTGATCGGAACTTTGTCTTCCGTTCCGTGCACGTGTACCGAGGCTGGCAAGGGATGTTTTGAAAGAACCCCAGATATGAGTTTTGAGTTGATTAAATACCCAGTAGTATTTTATAGGGTCGAGGTTAACAGTGTAAAGTAACTTTATACACTGATGTATGAGAGAGAACTTAAAAGGAAAAGAAAGTGACGGTCTCGCTTCAATAAGAACGTCAATAGTTCCAATTTGCTGTCCTATCCTAACCTTAACCTTAACAACGCTGATCTCCCGGGACGCTTATTGCTCCGCTGCCAAGATTGTGGAGAGGATCACGTGTCGCGGTACTTGACCCTTTGGCATGAAACGACTTTAAGGATCACCAAACAGAGAACGAGAGATTCGGATACTCGGAGTGTGGATAATTTACCATTGGGCGAATGTCGGAACGCTTTTGTGGAATCACTACCGGGGAGTACAGGCAGAGTCGGCATAATGTTCGTGCGTCTGGGGATACCAGTAGGTATCAAGCAAGAACGGGTGGACAATTTCCTAGGGACTGCTCTGTAGATCGTGTTCGATTTGCTTGAAAAAAACGATAAAATTGCTTTACGAGAGAAAATGTCTCAATTTTATTTTTCACCGAATCAACTTCCAGTCGTGGTAGAATGAGACTCTGCATTGCCGGCCACCCTCGATAGCAACAAACTCGTCGATGAGTCCCCAAGCAGTGCTATTAGTATCAGCCCACGCGAGCGAGTCTATCTGATACTACTTATGAGTTTCTCCCCAACTCCCGGATCCTAGATGGGAGTGATCATATCGCTCTCGCCGAAGATTCGAAAACATATGGCTTCAATCCTGAAAGGGAAGTTTGAACGGTCACTCACATCGACCCACTATGTTCAATCAATGCAGCTTCTTGAAAATTAATATGAGGAGTCGGTGACGAAAATGAAAAGTATTTGATCTTATTGCTAGTAAGGTTGCATATCAAGTTGAGATGTATCTTGTTCAAACGACGCTACTTGAAGATTATCGTTGCTTCTTTTTGAATACGGGAATTGGAAAATGTAGTATTGAATCTCAGCTGAGATTCTTTGGAGAAGCTTTGCGATGGTAGATTTCAGGTCTCGTATTGAAGAGATCTGTAAATGGAATAGTGTTCCTTCCCATGGGATATCTTTCAATTCTTCGTCATGAACTGAATGCTGAATCATTTGTAAGAGCAGCAGAAAATACCATCAGAGGTTTATCTCACTTATCAATGATAGTTCAGAGGTTGAAATCCATATACACCATTGCAAAACAATTCTTTGTGGCATGCAGCTATTCTACAAGATCGTCCTAGGTAACTCAATCACTAGTTGGTTGATTATAGTACAGTAAAAGTTCCCCTCGCTTCTGGCCTGTACTATATAAACCAAATTTACAACAAAACTCTCGGCCCAGCATGTGCGTCTAGCACAGCGGTAGAGGTTCAAGATTGCACTAGTTGCTTCATAATAGGTTCAAGACGATCCCAGATAGCGAGAGACCTTTCGCGGATTGTGGCGGCCGGCGTTTTTTTTTGTTTCATTTTTCTATCCATGTTTGGGAGTTCTTCTTGTGGTTGCGTAGAATCTTTGCTTTTCGTGGGATATGTTTGAGTATTTTGATGGGTAGTATGGAAAAGGTGGTGAGGCGACAACAGTGAATGTTGTCGTTGGAAGTGAAGTGAGGATATATTGTGGGGCCGGTTGTTGACCTTGAAATGGCATACCTACTCTGACCCATACAAAAATTAATCAGCGTCTCAACTTGATTAGATATGTCAATACTATTGGCCTGACCTACGCGATGTTTTTCTACTTAAATTGGATTCACACTTGATATAGGGACGTATACAAAAATTGAAAGTGATTGCAAGTAATGAACGAAAAGTCAGAAACCATTATCGTCGTCCCATGCTGCCAAGATTTCAATTCGCAACCACCTTCTCTCAAAATCTTGAAGTTGGCCGAGATCCAAATTTAATGATCAATTTTCTTCAACCCCAAAATCCTGTAAACCATTCGAATGATATCCGAGGGGATTCAATGTATAAGATATCGTACACAAACACTCTTGCGATCACCGTTTCCAACACATATCATACCTCATGTATCAGATGTACGACCTCTCAAGCTTTGTTGCAAATCTCGAGTCGGTAGGCACCTGTGAATATTCCCTTATTTGAGTTTAGATATCTTCTCCTGGGCCAAGAGTTTGTAGGCAAATCTGAAATTAGGAAATTGGGAATGGGGAATGCGTTTAGAAGGCTGAGCTTATGGTTTACATGACCGACTGCACAAATCTTTCACAAACACAAGAAAGTGGATTGATGGATTTTTGTACTTCCAGTTGACGGTGTATACACCTTAAAATCCTTGTAAAACGTGGGTACCAGAGCGATAAAGCCATGATTGTCGCCTGCAAAGCTTGTTGCAGAAAAATATTCAGACCCAAAAATATTACTCGTGTTAGGCCACGTGGGAAGGTTACACCAATTTAATATCAAGCAAGGCAACCAGAACTCCATTTGTACTTATCCCGTTGTCAATCCAACCCTTCGTCCCGCTTCATTCGTCATTCATCAAAATATCCTTCTACCTCGCTCTACCAGCCCCTCATCTAGCTGTCATCTCCGCGCCATAAACTCCGGCGCTGCCAACACCTAGACCTGTAGCAGACAATACACCCCATGTAAGAGCTGCAATTTCCCAATCTTCATCTTCGTCATAATCACCTTCAGCTAGATTCGTAGTAGTAGTAGCCGTTGGGACATATGCGGCATCTTGTGAAGATCTATTGGATTTCCTAGGACGGCCTCGACGACGAATTGGAGAGGGAGTATCACTTCTGTAGGCTGATCAGCTGTCAATTGACTCGAAAGACTGGGCGTGAAAACTTACAGTTTAGAAATGCCCTCCGCTTCCTCTTTGACCTTTACTCCTGCTTTAACTTTCTTCATCCAAGGAATGACCACTCGTAAAATCTCGAGACCATCCAATCCTCTTACAGCAGCCCATGTCCCAAGACTCAACCCGGAAAGAATAACATCATATCCGACAGAAGCTACAGCAGGGTGATCTGATATTGCACCAAAGACTATTTCAACGGCTGTGAATGCACGATTTGTGTTTGATCGATAAACCTTTTCGAGAGGATGAAGGAGACTGTGGCGGTAATAGTGATTCTCTGGTGTATTGTAAAGTAAAGCCAATCCCGTGGTTCTGACATGAAGAATTGAGGATATAATGGAAATACTGCGAAAGATTTTCGTGTATGAAGAATGGGCTTCATGTGGGTGGTCGTACGTGGTTCCCCAATGCTCAGGTACGATGTATGGAAGTAATAATGGTGCGAATGGAAGTGAAACTGATAAGAGTGCTACTGTCCCAAATGAAGATGTATTTGCCGCAAAAGGTGTCAAGAACAAGGCACCATAACCAGAAATAAGTGATGCAATGTAGAAACCAGAACTTGGTAGCCAGTTATGAGCTCTTTGTGGAACGATCTTCTCGAACCATAATCTAGATTATGAGAGTCAATACGTGCTCTAATCACAGAAATTGATAACTCACTTGTGCACACTCCCGAAAACTCTCCTCGTATCAGTCAAGACATCCACGTTCTCTGGCAATGGAACTGGAGTCAGTAGAATAGCCACGAACCACAGGTTTTGGGCAAATGATACATTAACAAGCTGTCCCAGGAGAATGAATGCCCATAAATTAGAGATATTTCTTCGACGTCCTTCGATAGCTACATAGGTACTGAACGAATTCATAGCAAAATTAGCTTGTTGACCCCACCAAAAGTATCTTGTATTTTCGGCGACTATCTCAAGGTTATCACGGTAGAAAGGTGTATCGTTAAGCCATCTGATGATCTCGAATCGACCTGGATGTTGACCCAATCGAAAAGCACCTTTGTCACCAAAAAGACTGTACTTATCGTGAGTATGTTTCATGCCATATAGCTCACTTCCTCTGGAAGATTTGCAATAACAGACCTATCAGGCAGCTCAACGCCTCTCTCAAGAGCCCAAACTCTATAGCTTAAACTAGCCCCACTCACACCGAACCATCCAGCAGTAATGAGACCCAATAAAGCCAAACTGATGAATATCCTAACATGATTGCGCCTTAAAGGTTGACGATGTCTTGTGGCAGATGAAGGTGGGAGTGCCAGGTATGAACGATAAATGGTGCGAGAAACGAGAGCTGTTAGACATGACGTTAAGAGTATATGTCCTCCTAGCTGTAAAGCTGGGAGGAGACTGTAGGTAGGTACATATTAGTATTCCCATTTATAGGTTGTCAAACAGTCTGATGATTTGATGCAACGAAACATGGGAACATGAATTTAAACATAGTAGTACCTTGGATCCTGATCGATTTCGATCGGCGCCATTTTCACACACACTCGTTTCCTCAAGTCAAATCAATGCGAAACAATATCGAATATCGATGCCAAAAAAAAATACAGATTCCTAAGTCATTAATATACCAACTGAAGAAGGTTGGATGTGATTCTCAGATATTGATGTTGTTAGTTGGCTTTGACACGTGAGAATACTAGAACTCGTGGGAAGGGTCCATTAGTTTCCGCGTCATGCAAGCTTAGCCTAACCATTTCTAGCTTTGTTCAGCCTTGTGTGTCAAGGCTTCGCTGAACTTCGTTGCAATACATTTACTCTTGAGAATACCAGTAGAATGTCTTACAATTAATTTTCATTGCTCAATTTCATCTACAAAGCCTCTCATTCTCTTTTTTTCATGAGTCCGATGTTTAGTATAACAATATTCTAGCTCAAACTTTAATCCCTAGCCAGATCTTTTTCCACACGCCGCACAATCTTCTCAAAACGCCCTGCGTCCCTACTTGACAACACTTCTTCCACAAGCCCTTGGGCACTCTGTTTGCGAACTCAAGCTCTGCCTGCTTTAGATTCCCAGAGTATTCCATAACTCTACCGAGTTCTCGACTGCTTTTCTGCCTATAGACGCGCCGCGAAGCTTTAAGGATTCCGAGATTGTGGGGATTGACATCTACAGGTCCCGCAGTCGACATTGAAGAATGTATCATTTAGCAAAGGGGTTGTATCGATATGCCACTAGTAAAGAAGGTTAGTCTTGACCTTTCAATTGCTTATATATTCTCAATCCCCTATAATTTAGCACCTACTCGTACACCAATGCGAGCTTAGGTGTTCAATTCTGGATCTCGTTGAAAGCCAGGCTTTAATTCATCGCAAATATAAATCGCACAGATCCTCTTGCCTTTCTCGATTCCACAACAACTATGAATCCCTTCCATCATTGCAATTACATCTAACCCTATTTCTCCGCTTTCGCAGACTAACATACCACAGAATACTCCGTTCTCCTCCTCGGCCTTGACAACGCCGGCAAAACTACTCTCCACACCCAAATCAAATCACTATATTCCCCGCATAACCCCGCTCCCGCCGAACCCTCACAGTTAAAAACAGTACCCACCGTCGGTCAAAATGTCTCCACTATCGACCTTCCAGATATGTATCTGAAGATTTGGGATATAGGAGGCCAACATTCTCTTCGAAAATTATGGCAATCTTACTATACTAGTTGCCACGCCATTGTCTTTATAATTGATAGTACTGACATTGGTTCTGGAGATCTCGCTGATTTGGACTCTGATACCGGGGACAAAGATGTAGGGAGATTAGAGGAGTGTAAATTGGTATTGGAAGATGTTTTGAAAAGTGTGGAGACGGAAGGAGTGCCAGTGCTCGTTTTAGCGAATAAACAAGACAGGGAGGATTGTGTGGAAGTTGTGAGGATTAAAGAGGGTTTAGTGAAGAGGGTATTTGAGGGGGAGGGAGGCGGTGCGATTAGAGACAGTCGGGTTTTACCAATTAGTGCGTTGGGCGGAACAGGGGTTAGGGAGGCGGTAGAGTGGGTGAGAAGTAGAGTTGTTTGGAATAGGGAGGGGAGACCTCCTGTTATGCGGTAGTCTGAAAGGGTGGAGGAGTGAGTATTGGGAGATCCAAGGTCAACATGGGTTGAGACCTTCACACGAAATCTGGGGGAGACGCAAGGAGATATGAGAGAAGAGCTAGTGAGCTTTGTGCTTCTTTTGCTTTACATAATCCTATTCCTCATCTGCAACTTCGAGATCATGAGCATCCACACGTATCAGACTTCCTTAGACAAGAGGTGGACAGAAAGGATAGACAACTTCAGAGGTACTCTTGAAGATGGCCAAGATTTAATGAATCAATTTCTTGCAACATACTAGGCGAGGGGGCAGGAGGCGAAGGGGCGGCAAACGAATTACTTTTTGATGTTGAATTAAGGATGGCCAAGGAGTTTAGTGGGAGTTTACTTGTAGCTAATGAACAGATGAAGTAGAAGATAGAAAGAGGGAGAAAGAAAGAGGTGCGTTCTATTTTAAAACGCACCAATGGCGAAAGGTTTTAGGATATTATAATTGAATATCAATATTGTCACCATTTGTAAGCGTCTGCAATTTTCAATGAGTTTTCAGACAGTTACTAGCCTTGACACGTGCATCACACGGCTGCTAATTCACTACGCCTGAGACACTCCCATTCCTCCGAATCCACTTACTAACCACTTCCTCGGATAACCCTAAACATCTCCCCCCCTGAATCCCAAAATACGTGGTCACAAATCCAAAGTCCCAAGTTCTGGTACTCACCGCCATAGTCTGATCCCATCTCATCCCATTCTATTCTCTCCCATTCGATCCAACGAAAAATTCTCGAACAATCCGGCTCGCTTCTAATGATGATCCCATACACGATGCCGAGAGTTTGATATTCTCGAATTTCAAACACCTATTTTAATACCAGCATTCATGCATTTTCGTCCCATCTTATGATATTCATCCCAGTTAAATGTCAGAAATTTTTTGGAAGAACATCGACGCCACATTTCACTGCCTAAGTAACCTCCGACCCCCCTTTCCTCCCCTCCCTTCTCGCATTATTCTTTGAACAGATCCGAAGAAAGAAAGAACTACTTTTCCCGCTCCCGTTAGAGATTTACCCAGTACCTACTCAGATTCCCCCACCCCTTCTCGAACAACATTGAACAATCACACGCTCCCCTTCTACTTACCTATCCTTCCCCTTACCCCCTCTTCTTAACCTAAGCCATCCATCCCATCTCCAAACTCAATCCCACATACTCAACACACCCCCAAACCCACTTCCACAATCGCAATACCCATCTCATCTCATCACCCATCCCTCCAACCTTCCATCGATCCTAGAAATGCACTCAAGTATCCTTTCCGCTCCGCGCCCATCCACCCGCCCTCAACTCAAGCACCCCCAGTCTCTCAACCTCCATTGTATAGCCATCCCTATGCTAGACACCTTCTCTGTCCCCCCTCTCCCCTCACTTGACACGCTATACCACTGAACACAAACACAAACACCGACTCAAACCTCAAACACCAAACAACTATCCAAGTCAAGATCGCCCTCCAAAATGTTCGACTCTAAACCCACCCCACCCCACTCCAGCCCCAAACGCCGACTCCGCCATCTTCCCCTTCCCCTTCCCCTCCCCTCCTAAAACTCCAAGTCCATCCCCATCCCCATCCACCCCCAAGTCCAGGTCCAGGTCCAAGTTCAAGTCCACGTCCAAGCACATTCCCAAATTCGAGTCCAAGCGCATGCGCAGCACCGCACCGCACCGTCCTAGAGCGTAATCTTCCCACCTAATCTCTCAGATCATTCTAGAATTTATCTCCAGGGATAACATTTAAACATTAACCAGATCGTATTGACCATTCGGCTCTGATAGAGTTAAGCATTCAATAGTCGGTAGGAACTAGTCTGCCGCTTGGTAGAGCCGGTAACTATCGTAAGTGAGGACATTGGTATATCGACAACAAGCGAACCATGATTCACTTACATTAGTATCCCATCACCCAATCAGAATGCAACAGTATAGAACATGTAATCTTTGAATCTTGAAACTTTCATTGTAGCAAAGCCATGATATCTAATCTAACCCTACGACAAGAACCATATGGCCAGTAATTCAATCCTTATATTTCTCTCATCTTCTCTCATCATTTCAAAACACCCCATCCATCCCATTCCATCAAACCTGTAATATTTCCGTTCTTCGATCTTCAACCATCGATCCCATTCCCATAAGTCCATGACCGTGATCATATCATTCCCAATACGCCATCCATTAAAATAATGGATTCATTCCATCAAACACCCAATCTTCGATCATTCGCCAATATCAAAGTCTAAATGATATATACGCGTCCCATTTTATTGCATCAACCAAAAAACCCCACGCTAAAGCAACTGCAAACGCAAAAAAAAGCAAAAAAGACAATTAGTCTGAAATGTAATATGTATGAAGATCTGTGCCGAAAACAACCCCCCCATCAAAAAATCAAAAGATAAACAAGCAGTAGTATACTGCTCTGGCACAAAGGTCTAGTTCAAAGCCGATTGGAAAGTAAGCTGGATCTTTGGGTATTCAACGCGAAGAAAGCAGGTAATAGCAACGCTAAGTTCGACTCGCAGCAGGTTTTAAATTGTTGAAGACATGCCTGCCAATATTGGTTGAAAATTATGTGTGTATTCGTACGTCTTTCTCTCAAGTAGGCCGTTTCTTATCGTAATTGTGGTATCAAAAAAGAAGGGAATTCGTAGAATTCGTAAACGTCCAAGTGTATATGTGATGTTCCGGAATTCATCTAGAAGGTACTCCAGTGCCAATCTCTTGGGACACTTGCTGGGAGACTCTCGGGTGGACCTTTCAATTGTTGGCCAATGAGGTTATCGACAACTCTACCTCTGGCACAATTGACGACTGGGGTAGTGGGAGTTCTTGGTTCGTCTTGAGAGCTTTCGCTGTTGGAACGACTGGATCGTGCAATGGACCAGCTTCTATACTCGTGCCAGCAGTGTTCGCATGAACGGCTTTGAGTGCCCTTTGGGTGGTAGTTGGCATCTTGATCAAGAGGAATTGAATAACCAGAGTGTTGATCGCAGAAAATGTTTCCACAGCGCCGACAATGATGGCGTCTTGTGAAGTAGGTGAAGTATTTTGTGCAAGTAGTCTCATCGCAGATGGAGGATTCGGCATCAGGCTGTCGAACAATAGAGTTAGCATCCCATCTTGTAGATATAAAAAGTAAAAGAATGAAAGATGATTGGCATGTAAGGTGGATAGATGCTTTTGTTTGGAGCACGCGACCCAGCCAAGCGATGAGAAATGGTGTGCATGGCGGCTAGGGATCCATTGCGAATTCCTAGCACGTAATATCCCTCGAGGTATTGCAACATTTGTTTGCACAAGTTACAAATACCCCGAACACCTCAAGACTTCTTGAATGCAAAAAAAGATAAAAATGTTCAAGAGGTAAGACTCGTTCATAATCTCTCCAATTTTGTTCTTTTGATTTGCTTCGAAATAACAGGATGGGAAAACTTTTGCTAACATACCTTCCAGTGATTTCTTGTTGGCAATGCGGTTACCTTTTCAAGGCCCTCGACACTCCATTCAGATTCAGTTATTGCGCCCAATCCAAATTTTCCACTATCTCCAGTCGATCTTCTAGTCAATGTCGTTGCGCTCTCCAAGTCATCAAAGCTGCTATGCATACTTTGTGGTGGAGTAAGTGGTGATGGCTTCATCATTCTCCTGGGTGGATCTGTTGGTCTCAAAACCGCTGGCACATACAATGGTGACTTGGGCGGTCGCAACTGTCTAGTGTGCGCTGGTAAATAATTTGGAAGTCCATTTCTTGGTGAAGTGGGAGAGGCATTATTTGGAGTTGGCGGAGTGGTATTTGTCGGAGAGATTTGTTGACTGTTGTAGAGAGTATATTGAGAAGGGGAAGCCGTGAATTGTTGAACCGGCATTGCGAAATCTGCAGACATCACTCTGGATTTTTCTGATGTGAAGTCGTAAGTGGTAGTAGGAGGAGGGTAGGAAGTCTGTCGGTTTGTTTCGAAGAACATGGAATTTCACTCTCACTTTCTGATATGAGAGTTAAGGATTGGTGAAGAAGAGAAAAGGGCGGGATGAATTGATAAGATGTTGCTTTTTTGGCTCTTATCGGTGAAAGCGACCCAAGGTAACAGTGACCGAACGGCGGCGATGTTATTGTACGCCTTCTAAGGATAGAAGAAAGTAGGTTGACGATGCGGTTATCGTAGGCCTTACTATTATTACAGAGCCTTCTTCGGAAAGTTCTTATCGAACCAACTTCCAAATTCGAGTATTGAGAAATGATGTTTGGATGATTAATAACCACAAGGATATTCTATTGATGATTGATCAATAGAATATGAATGTAATATGTGAATGAATGATTATTTATTATGATGTATGTTATTATAACTGTATGACTTCGGGAGTCTGGTAGAGAGAAGGGGAAAATAATCGAATATCGTGTAGAATGAATTGGTAAGTAGTAGGAATTCGGTTTTATTTAATCCTTGGGTAGCGTTGTAGTATTGTGGCGGGTGGATTGGATTGGATGATTGATAATTCTCGCTTCGACCAATGGGTTCTTTATGAGTCGATGGATGTGAGAGATAACAATGCAACTGTATATGCAAATGCAATCCAATCTTCTTCCAAGGATCCTTGTGAAGCTTTGCTAATTTCCTACACAATGGAACTTGGGGAACTAAACTCTTCGAATCCGATATCTTAAACAAGTAAGATAGATAAGAAGGATACGATAGGATAGGATGGTCGTATATGTCGATGTTGTACCTCGTTGTACAGGAGGGTAGAGGATTGAAGGTGGGTGAGAAGTTTAAAATATAGATAAGACTTGAAGTAGATGATTGGTAAGAGGTAGAAGGTAGAAGTAGAGATATAGATAGAGATATAGATGTTGAAGTAGAGGCAAGAAGTATATGTAACTTGGAAGAAAGGTTTGAAGTCTTTCTGAATTTCCAATTGCTTTACTTTTGAATGAGGAAGGTATTTCGATCTTTGATTGTTGAGACGAGACGAGACGAGACGAGACGAGATGAGAGTATGGACGAGAGGGGGGGCAATTTGATATGTATACTCCGTACGCACATTGAACAGATAGAGTGGAGGGGGGTGGATAATGGAAAAGTGGATTGAAGCTAAGATATGGGATGCTGGAGTAAAAGTTTAGAATGTCTAACGATGTATCCTCAAGTCTCTACTCTTCTACCTTTGCTTTCTCAACTATCCGACAACTACTCCGTACTCGAGTAATTAACACGTGCATTACATGGGAAGAACCCAGTTAGAAATGTGTAAACTAATTTTGATCAGATATGTACCGGTCTTCAGACTACAGTACATAATAGTTCAATATATTCTCGGAGGGCTAATGTTAGATATGGAGATATATGGGTAAATGGATATATGGATAATAAGTAACCATTGGGAGCTTAGTATGTTTAGAACTTGTGAAAAGGTCTAATTTCATTCAAGGATTTTACTTCCTCGCTATTGATTTGAACATGCACTTTTACGAGGCACGAGTTATGTGTAGAGAACGTCGTCAAGAGTGTGGGAAAAGAAGGATCTATTCTCATTCGAATCGCCCGATACTGCATATGTGTTGAACTCCATTAAGCATTTCTGTGCAATGTACATGCATCCGTTCATCATAGCAAGATTCAAATCCCGTACAGAGGTGCAGTCTACACGGCAGAGCTATATTCCGAGTCTCGCCAATTCCGTCCATGTACAGTACAGTACAGTACACAGTAGAAATTAGCATCACCGTCGGAAGAATCCACTCTTCTACGGAGTAGATGAAATTGATGATCAGCTAAGCAGCAGAACTTATGAATTACTAGGGTTTGATTGGATAGCAACTCACATATTGAAGTGGGTTGGGGAAAAAAGCTAAGACTTGACATGATCGTAATAGTATTAGATACCTACGATAGGGATCCATCTAGTATCGGTCAATACCAGGATTAAAGGAGTTCGTGCCGAGATGTGAGCCCAAATTGATCAAGGATGCGAAACCACCTACGGAGAATGTCCTCCTCGTCAATTCAAATTTTCCCTTCCAGCCACAATTGACACAATGCACGGAAGTTTGTATCGGGAGGTAGGTGGTAGTGATATGGTTAGTTAAGGGATAAGAAACGAGAAACGAGAAACGAGAAACGAGAAACGAGAGGGAACAGACGATTACGATCAACAGGAGGAAAGAACAGATATCAATACACAGGACATTGTAAACAAGATATCAAACATTAGATAATTGAGCGGTCAAAGAAAACAAATAGATATGTGTAACTCTGACTACATATCGAAATTCATGCGCCGTCAGCCTCAAATAAAAATGGAATCTGGGTTTATCTCACACACACATACATACACATACGCACACATACTCACGCAAAATCCGTACACACGCTTTCCCTTGGATCTTGATCTACCAATCTTATTGAGAAGTGAAAACCAATCTTCACTTGTCAGCCATCAAGATGACACCCGAACTTGAGAGAAAAAACCTCGTTAAACTTTTTTGAGAAGGGATCGACTAGGGTCCTCTCGGTCCATAGTATACACTAATAAAATCACTGTCGCGTGTGCATGAGCTAAAAATTAAAAATCAAGGGTCTAATGCGAAATTTAATTGGTGGCTAAGTGTTCTCTTATCAGAGTAATTTAATTGGCCGTTGGGAGAGACACTATGATGTATTATTGCGGTAGCTTGTCGGAGGGCGGATGTTGAGGAAGGATCTTGGTTGGAGAGTTTGAAAGTTTGAAAGCTTGAAGCTTGACAGGTCTCTTGAGTCTTGACTCGAGAATACTGCTGGATAGCTGGCGTGGGCAGTGGAGGCTTATGAGAGAGGGTCGGTCGCATATAGGCAAGAGGGTCATAATGTTGTCTATCGACTTTGGGGGAAAGGGGGGGGGGGGGGCAATGGAGACACACATTGATCGGGGACTCCGTTTCATTACAGGAAAAGAAACAATCGCAATCAAGGGAACGTCTGAACGACTTCGTACGGAATAACTACCGCAACATCTGAACACATACATCTGTTCTTTACATCTATCTGTTCTACACATCTGAAATTGTAAGATGCTGCAATCTGATGTTCTGGACTCTTTGATACCGAAACCTTGGTGTCTCGGTAGGTTTAGTACCGGTATCGTAAATTCAATGGCGGTTTTGAGTGACGACTTTCATGTCTTGGCTCTATGATGGTTTGGAACTCATCGAGCTCATCGTGAAGATCCCAAAGATAACAACCAACTTACTCGCAACTTGAGTATATATGGAGTAGAACTTGGGTACCGGTACTCTAGTGAATTTACAGCGTCATTAGGGAATCTTGGGATCGCTCTGTGCAACGTGAATCAAAACCTTCCCTTATCTAAACTTTCTCAAACCAAGGAATCTTGATGACTTTTGTAACTGCTACCGTTCCACACAATGCACATCTCTTGGGGTTTCTCCGTACTCCCTTGGATATGAATGAATTCCAAAGTTAAAACGCTTGTCCTTTGATCAATCAATGGTTCTGTGGTGTAACTTGTAAGCCTGTAACAACTTACATGGTCGACGGTCGTATTACATGAATTCCGTGACTCGCGCATACGGCGGCGACTATCGGAGTTTGTCGGAGGTCGCTGATTTATTTATCGCTGTTAAGCTGCTTGATTGAGGCTGTCTCACGACTTGCTTTTCATCACATCCAACCAAATTCACCTGAGTGCACCCCTCCAAGATCCATCAATCAAACTCTCCTAATATAATTGGTCCGTTCTCATAGCCGACAAACTTCCCAATTCCAATCCATTTCCGGAAGATCCATTTAAACCGTTGAAGCATAGTAATACTCTAAACTCAATCAATCATTAGTCTGAAATCTCGCCCTGCCGCCAGACGGAATCCAAAAATACTTGGCCACACAGAGAGCTGGGCTGGGTAAAGTCTCTAACGCTACTACTTAGTTGCCGAGAGCATTTCAATGACCGACAGCATGCTAATCGGTGCGACTTTCTCAAGATCGTCACAAAACGCGATTCAATTAACTGTCTTTAATGTCGATGTACAAATTCCAAGGCCTCGTATGAAATAAAAAATTTGCTACTTGTATGCAGAGCTCAGGGGCCTGATGATGGCCCTTCATGCTGATCCGGATTTTACCCTTCTACCACCGAGAGGTCATCTCTCAGCGTGGTAGCGAGTCTACTTCACACTATAAAATCATCATGGGATGGATGTAAATGCAAGAGATGCAGAAAGGTGGTATCACTGTGGGGTATTGGGGAAGGTTCTAGGAAGTATTCGATGCTCTAGGAGACCTAGAAAGAATCTGTACGGAATCAAATGGACTATTCGATCACTGGACTCTTTTGTGGATTGTTGACAACTCAATCTTGGTGGCAAAAGATTAACCCAACAGCCTTGATTGAAGCTTTTGAAGATCTGTTATCAACTCAACAGCTTGTCACTTGTTATTTTGTGTCTTGTTCCCTGTGAGGCTGTGAATGTCTTCGGCAAATTGTCTTTGGTTTCTTCGGATCTCAGCCGGGTTAATTCTGGCACTGAGATTGAAGGTGAAAATTTATATTGGGCCCTAATGTGGATTTTCAACATATCGACCCCCCTCCAGAAATGCGTCCCCATCGCCCCCATTCTTGGAGATTTCCGCTTCACGTTTCTGGTGAGGCTTGTTATTTGCAGTAGCGGACCCTTTTCACTCTATGGTACACTACCGATATTGGCGAGGAGGAGTGTAAGCTAGGATGTGTATACAATGCATTGACTAATTTTGATCGTGAAAGCTTCATGGCACTTAGAAGGATTCATTTCCAGTCATGCGGAGGTTGAGATTTTAAATTATTGATTGCTGTTGCCAGTTGAGGGTAAGTCTTCAAGAGAAGGACATGCAGGAGTCAAGATCCTTCCGCTCCAGGTAAGGCTGCCCCGGATCCTATTGAAGTGGAGTAGCAGTTTCATGCTCGTCGAAGGAGAAAACAATGGTTCGTAGGAAAGAGAACGGTCGTGTGAGGGATTTTTGAGGCCATCCATATTTTTGCCTAAATTAAGGGTCTGCGCGGGAAACGCGGACTATGGGGCGCTCCAATACCCATTTCGTACCCATTCCGCCCCATTATGTGGCTGCATGGACCATCGTCAAATATGACATCTCCGTGGTTTTTTCGGTATTTTGGTGTAAGGGTAATTGTTCTTTGTTCACTTCCGTTACAACTTTGTACCCTCGATGATCTTTGGAAACTTGACGAAACTGGACACAACTGAAAGTGAGGATAGTTCCTGATCGTCGAGAATCGGGTCCTTCAACGTATCATGATAGTAGGCCGTCTTTCTGGGACGATCAAACCTCCATAAGGAAGTTGAATGCGGTCGTTTAAATCCCGGCAATGGGATATCTTGCCATATCACAATCGTTTCTGCTCATATCTCTTCCTCGATCTGCGGTGATGCATTTCCATGAAGGGTTGGATTGTCCGACATCGCAACCAGATTCTCGCAAAGGTTGATCCTTATCAAAATTAGTGGCCACTGAGAAATATCATTGGAGCCATGAAGAATTGCTATCGTCAATTGATCGAAGGCTAGTGATGCGGTCTCCCTGCTGCCATAGGAGTTACCTCCAGAAGAATCCCCTACCCATACAGATAACATACGAGCTGCTGCGCGTCGATAAAAGTCTCTCAATCGAAGATACTATGTCATTATCGGCTGAATGTACCATGGACTCGAACCTTCGATCGCTATGATATGAGCTGTTGCTTCAAAATTGAGATCCGGGAAACCATGGCTCCTTCCTCGCAAGTTCTTGGGAGTTGACAACATCTTGAGCCCTCACGTGCTAGATTTTCCCAGAGAAACAGACTAGCCTTTGCGCGTGTCAACAGGACGTGAAGACGTCTCATATGACAACTCGCTGGGGCGCAAAAAATGACTTCCGCTTCATTTATCTCCTTATTTTATAACAGGTACATGGCATTTGCTTTTTCTTCTCCTGCTCAGCTTTGCTCTGAGTTTGTGATCCCTTGAGGATTTTACTGGAACTCCCACACACCAGGGATCAATTATCGCAACCACGAATCCCAAAATCCATGGGTTGCGGGCCCTCATAACTTCAGCCCGTCTATTGCGGCGGTGCAAACGGAATGGTTATGCAACCAATGCGAGTCTACGAATTGAATCAAGACTTTGAAATAAAGTCTGCCAAAGCT